GGGCTTGGGAAGGAGGGAAAAAGTAGAGGCTGGCAGAGAAGGCAACCCTGTTCCAGCCCCTCCAGCAAGTGACACCACGCATCACCATGTCCTCAGTGCCACCGGGGACTGAAGCCTATGCAAGGCAACATTCCCTGGCCACTTCTCTCACTCAGCAAACAGAGTTAACCGTGCATTTCCCTTATCGTCATCTCCAAGCGTTCCGAAACTTCAGCTAGGTTCCCAAACCTCAGGTTTTGGTTTAAAAAAAATAAAAAGTTGTTGAAATGGAGGACTAGAGGATTAAAATTTATATTTCAGCTTTTTATTCCAGATGATTTGTGTGTTCTGAGATTCCCTATCCAGAAACATAGGTTCAGAGGTATCCCACCTATTGGAGACCCCTAGAGAGAGAGATTCAGAGACTAGAGCTACTGCATACACGCAGTCCTTGAGCTCTTCCCAGTGGCTATAAAGGGAGAATAGGAAAACTATGACCTTACTTAGGATGGGAGAGTGGGAAGGAGGATCAATTCCAGCACATTACACTGATTAGAGGCACAGGCTTTTGGAAGAGCACTGATCATCTCAAGATTAATCATAACCCTGCAAGAACTGGCAATGCCAGATTTTCTTTTTCTTCCCAGTAACATCAAAATGAGAGCAGAGATGGGCGGTACAGCTGGACAGTGTTCCAGTACGGGCAATGCAAACACTGGAAAAACACTCCCACCCACCTCCCCATGCAAACATATACTTATATACACAGGTTTGTATGTACCTATGTACATACACACCAATCCAGAACAAACTATGGGGGAGAGACAAGGCGATTTGGGTGCCCCTCGTGCTGTGATGACAAACTTAGAGCATGGCAATCTTCGGAGAGAAACTTTCAACAGGTCTGTGCCACGGTGGGAAGCCCCGGCAGCGACAGCCAGAGCTGCTCTTGCCTGACTCTTCTCCTTTGTGCCTGATCTTCTCCTTCATGTCTGCAAGTCAAACCGATAGCCCTTTACACTGACTGTGCAAGAGACTGCTGATGGGCTAATAGGACTTTTTTTTTTTTAAAATAAAAATTTCTCTCACAACAATGCATCCTATCTAAAATATGTAGGAGGAAGAGGGAGGAAGGCAGAAAAATTTTCCTCTGCACATCTCCATAGTCACGTCGCACTCACCACTGCAGCAGCAAAGAGGGGGGCTTATCTGAATACACACATGGGCACTAGTGGGAGAAGAAACATATACTAAAAAGAGTGTCTGCTATAGATGCTCACTGAAAGGAGACAACACTAAAACCAGAGACTCCTTAACATACAGATTACTGACTTCGAAGCTTGTGAGCATTTCTGAATATGAACTGTAATGGTTTGGGGGTTATTACAGAAATACAAACGAGAGCCTGCTACAGTTTGGGATTAATGAACCAATAAAGCAGTCAATCATACAAAAAAATATGCAATTTGGACTTCTATTCAAATGTAAATAATTGATTCAGCAGGCAACAAATCATACAAATCCTCCCGAGTCACGGGCTTATTGACAAAATAAATGGGAGCTATTGCACTAAGGCTGCAACTTCCAACAACCGTGACACCCTGCTAGAGCTATGGGGCGTACTAGGTTGCAGTCAAGCATAGTAAACAGCCACATGAATTTCAGCAGTAAAGTGCAAGGATAGGGTTTTTGTTTGTATTTAATCTGTATTCTAACTTCCAGACAGGCAGCTATCAATACATACTGTTTAAAAGCAGTGTTTTCTTAGAGCAGCTGCCAGTGCATGCACTTTGCAA